CCCCAAAACCCCAAAACCCCAAAACCCCATCATTCCCAATTTAAAATTAGAGTGAAATTAGTTCAATATTTTTGAAATTGGAATAATATTATAGTTATATTATTAAGGGAAAGTAAGATTTTGCTATCTTCGACCATTCTCATAAATTAATGATAGAATCAATGCCCTTGATTGCTTTCAAATTTTGACATCTCTATTGATAGGTTCTCTGCATAATGGACAAGAATTATTTCCCTATTTAATCCAATTCTCGATACATTCTGAGTGGAAATAGTGCTTATCATTGCAAGTAAGTTTGACAATATCGGAATCTTTTTCAAAAGTGCCCCAGCAAATCACACACTCCTCATTATTAGTAAACATTGAGCTGAATTTGGTTCTAGTTAGATTTTTCAATATTTGTATAGCTCCTTGTTGTTTCTATCCTTGCTATCTTTTTTTGAAAATCATCAAAGCAAAAAGTATGATAAGGACTAAAGCATAGAGGATAAAATGAACATAGCCTAGAAGAAGAGTGCCAAACATTAAATAAATAAGTAATGGACTGTCAGTATTACAATTATTGTCACTGGAGTAATATAAAATATTTCCATAGATAAGCCAAGCGCAATTAATAGCTTCAATTACCACTAGTGAAATAACTTTGACCGAAGCTCTGTATAAAATCCATCTTTAGCTGCTATGATGATTATCAATGTATTCAATTCCTAATTAGGAACCTCTTTAGAGTAGTTAAATTAAGAAAGAAACTAATAGCCACGACTTTAGTGGAATGCCACAATTCTTAGTGTCTCCAAGCAATATCATTACAAACACGAACACTTGCATTCTAAGTTCACAAATCGATTTTCTTTGACGCTCTTCATCCTGGGTTAGCACACGTGAAGGACTGACTATTCCCTGATCATTCTAATTAATTAAAGTGCTTTATTCACTCATTGAGCTTTCCAAATCTGCCTAATCTTCTTAGGACAATTATCTATCTATTAGAGATGGATCATCAGTGTGATTGGCTAAAACTCCAGATTTAATTGGCAATTGAGATTTAACACTAGCCTTATCGTTAGTTTTACAATAAGTTATCAAATTTGACTCTTCAGATAGATTTTTAATAAGAGATTCTTCCTAAATCTCAAAATCTTCTTAATTGGCTCGCTATTCATTAAAGTAATTGCTATTCATTTTGATTTTATAATTAATTTACTAAGTCTATCAGCATTTGATGATACAATAATTTTTATTTTTACATCATTTCCTTAAACTTCATCCTTAAATTTGGAAGATTGGGGTTTTGGGGTTTTGGGG